AGAACAAGTACAAGGAGGCTGCTCACCTGCTCAATGATGCCCTGGCCATTCGTGAGAAGACGCTGGGCAAGGACCACCCAGCTGTGAGTGAGGGTGGGTGGAGGTTGGGTTGCTGCTGCTGCTCTCTGCAGCTCCCAGGTCTCAGAACCCTTGGCCAGCAGGGCCCGGGTCACAGAGCCTCCATTTATTCTCCAAACCCCCCAGGTGGCTGCAACATTAAACAACCTGGCAGTTCTGTACGGCAAGCGGGGCAAGTACAAGGAGGCCGAGCCTCTGTGCAAGCGGGCACTGGAGATCCGGGAGAAGGTGGGAGCAGGCAGGGCTGGGCAGGCCAGGCAGGGGGCCTAGGCCAGCTCTGAGCCTAGCCACTGGCTTCTGCTCCCATCCCAGGTCCTGGGAAAATTTCATCCAGACGTGGCCAAGCAGCTGAGCAACCTGGCACTGCTCTGCCAGAACCAGGGCAAAGCTGAGGAGGTAGAATACTACTACCGGCGGGCACTGGAAATCTACGCCACACGCCTCGGGCCTGATGATCCCAACGTGGCCAAGACCAAGAACAACCTGGTACCCTGGGCCAGGAGGAGCTGCGGGAGGGAGGGAGAAGGAAAGGAAAAGGCTCAGGTCCCTGCATCCTGCTTTTCCTCTGACCCCTGCCTCTGCAGGCCTCCTGCTACCTGAAGCAGGGCAAGTACCAGGATGCAGAGACCCTGTACAAGGAGATCCTCACCCGTGCTCACGAGAAGGAGTTTGGCTCTGTCAATGGTGAGTCCATGACTGCCATGCGCCCCCAGCTCACCTAGAACAGGCTCATTCTACCATCAACATCCACAGTGGGCAGGCAGGCAGACCCTCATGCCTGGGGTGTCATGTGCACATGTGAGCATGTACACACACCTCCTGGGCCCTGTCGGTGCCATGCACACCCTTTGTATACCCCATGCCATTGACCCAGAGTCTTTCCCCTTTCTCTGCTGGGAAACTTCTGCTCACCATGAAGGCCCAGGCCAAATGTCTCCCTCTCTGGGAAGCTGCCTTCTGGCCCCTGATGGTCAATCATTTCCTGCTCTGGGCCCTTCAGCCTGGCCCATCATTCAGGCTCAGTTGTGGGCCCAAGGTGACTAAGGGTCTGCTCCCCCAAGCCCCTCAAGCACAAGCCTGTGCCACAGTCATCTGTTTCAGAGGAGGCTCACTAATGTTTTCGGTCTGATTCTTGTTCATTCATTCAACAAAGCCCAACCCTGATTCTTCCTGGCTTCCCCTGACCCCCTCCCCAGACCCCAGTTCTGTGTCGAGCCCAGCCAGGAGAGGCCTATATGGGAGGCTGGTGACAGCCCCCTTTTTCTCCCCAGGGGACAACAAGCCCATCTGGATGCACGCAGAGGAACGGGAGGAGACCAAGGTAGTAAGCCCTGCGGGACGGCTGGAGTGGATGTCCAGGGAGGGAGGGTAAAGTTGGGGGTGTGGAGGGGAGGGCCTTCTCTTCCCACCACCCCTGACCATTCTTCCCCCAGGATAAGCGCCGGGATAGCACTGCCTATGGGGAATATGGCAGCTGGTACAAGGCCTGTAAAGTGGACAGGTGAGGACGACGGGGCAGGGCTGGTGGTAGAGCAGGTCGCAGGGAAACAGTATCCTGGGTGAGGGCTGTGGCTGGCTGCACAATTCATACTGCTTACCCCTTCTCTATCAGCTTCTCTTCCAAGGCCTGGCTCACAGGCCACCCCAAAACGGCTTTCTGTACTGGGAAAACTTGATTATTTCATTCGTGGGTCTCCCAGCTTTTCTTTTTCTTTTTTTAATTTTTATTGATTTTTAGAGAGAGGAAGGGAAAGAGAAACAGAAACATCAATCTGTTGTTCCACTTATTATGCATTCATTGGTTGATTCTTGTATGTGCCCTGACCAAGAATCGAAATACCCCTTGGTGTATCAGGATGATGCTCTACCAACTGAGCTACTCAGCCAGGGCTTGAGTCTCCCAGCTTTTAGTCCTAGTGGCAATATCCCACTTAGGTCCCTGGGGCCAGGTCCCAAGCCCTGGGGTGATTCTAAGATGGAGAGTGCAGTTGGGTCTCCTATCACAGGACTTGACACCTAGGAGGGTTGAGATCTTGGCTGGCCGGCTGGTTCCTTAGAGCTCAGTATGGGCTGACTGCCAGGATAGGCCCTGGTTCCTGGGGAACACAGAATTTGAGACTGTCCCGCTGTCCTGTCCACAGCCCCACAGTCAACACCACCCTGCGCAGCTTGGGGGCCCTGTACCGGCGCCAGGGCAAGCTGGAAGCTGCACACACACTGGAGGACTGTGCCAGCCGCAGCCGCAAGCAGGTGGGCGACAGACCTGAGGACTGGGCAGGGACCTACTTGGCCCTGTTTTTCACCTAATATGCCCTCCACTTCCTTAGGGCCTGGACCCTGCAAGCCAGACCAAGGTGGTGGAACTGCTGAAAGATGGCAGTGGTGGGCGGGGAGACCGCCGTGGCAGCCGAGATGTGGCCGGGGGTGCTGGGGCTCGGTCTGAGTCTGACGTTGAGGAGGCAGGACCTGCAGCCGAGTGGAGTGGGGTGAGTAGGGGTTGGGGTGGGCCAGGAGGCTGTGTAGCCAGCATGACAGACAAGCATGTCCACACCACAGGACGGCAGTGGCTCCTTGCGGCGCAGCGGCTCCTTTGGGAAGCTCCGAGATGCTCTGAGGCGCAGCAGTGAAATGCTGGTGAAGAAGCTGCAGGGTGGTGGCCCCCAGGAGCCCCCAAACCCCAGGTCAGCCTCTGCCCTGATAAGTTTACCACCCAGGGTGAGCCTTAAGACCCCACCCAACAACCCAAATGAGCTCCTGACTCAGGGTGCGCTCCTCATCTCTCTCAAGCTCCACTACCCACCAAATCTGTGCCTTTCCCATCAGCCTCCCTCCCCAACCCCAACCCGATCCCCTGCCCCACCTTCCCCAGTTCCACCATGGGCACATCCTGGCCTTCCTTTCCCCTCAGGATGAAGCGGGCCAGTTCTCTCAACTTCCTCAACAAGAGTGTGGAAGAGCCAGCCCAGGTATGGTGGGTGGAGGCCCAGGCCCAGGGCTGGAGGCCCTCTGTACCTGACGAGCTTCTCAAGCATGTCTTCATCCAGCAGCATTACCTGTCTCTGTCTCTGGTTTTGGGCTGGACACTGGGGAGACAAGTTAGGGAAACCCAGCCCCTGCTTGGGTGGACATGCAAGTGGCCAGTACCACAGGCACTGGAGGTGGACAGGGTGTCAGTACCAGGTGGGGCCTGGGTGAGGCTCAGGGGTTCTGGCTGGTCAGGCCCCTTTCCCTTCTGGTCAAAGAAGCACAGACTGGCAGCAGCACAAGGTTGAGCCACCCGCCCCTCTGCCCACAGCCTGGAGGCACAGGCCTCTCTGACAGCCGCGCCCTCAGCTCCAGCTCCATGGACCTCTCCCGACGAAGCTCCCTGGTGGGCTAATCCTGAAGGGGCAGCCAGTCGCCACAGCCTCCACCCGGCACTGCCCTCACCCCAGCCCTGCGCATGGGCCTGCTGCTTGTCTTGCCTGTCTCTCCCAAGGACCCCTGTCTTTTCTGTTCAATCTCAGGGTAACCTCCTTCCTTGTCATCTCAGCCTGAGCCCTGGAGGCTGGGCCTGCCCGGCCCCAGCTCTACCCCTTATTTATTCCTTCCAGCAGGGCCCCCTCTCCCTAGGTTCAGAGCCAGTGAAAGAGGCTGGCTGGGGTCTCCCAGGTAGAGATCAGTGGCCTGCCATCCCCTGACCCCGGAGTCAAGAACACTAAGTAACTGCCCTCCCGTCAATGCCCTGCCCTGCCCTGCCCCGGCCGTTGCTTCTGTATATAGAGAAATAAGTTATTGGCCGCGCCCCTCTCCTCAGTCTACCGTACTGCCTGGGCTTCCCCTCACCCCGCCCTTCTCTAGTGGTACCGCCCAGGCCTTAATCACTCCCATTCCACGCGGTGGTATCTCCCAGGCTCCACAACACATCTGGGGATCTCCCCGAAGGGTTCGCTGGGCATTGTCGCGCTCCTCCCGACTCTGAGGGGTGCGGACTCTGAGGGGTGCGTCCTGTCCCGCCATCGCTCCATGCCCCAGGATGGAGAGTCCTCCCCTTACCAGCCCCCTCAATGCCGGGCCCTGCCCTGCATCCCGGCCTTATGCACTGCCCCTCCCGCCCCCGCCCAGGCACTGCCTGTGAGCCATCTAGCCACGCCTTCTCCCACGCCTGCAGCTTCTCTCGAGGGACAGTGATGTCCCTGCTGTGGCAGGAGGGGCTGCTCCAGTTGTGGGGTGAGGTGGTCGTTCTCTATTTTCAAATGTTGCTGTAGAAATAAAGATGGTTTGAATCTGAGCCGGGCTTGTTTTGGGGCTGAAGTCCAGGGCTCCCAGGGTCTAGGTTGGGGTTGGGGTTGGGAAAGGCTGCGAATGAAGGGTGTGTGTGTGTGTGTGTGTGTGTGTGTGTGTGTGTCGCTCACGTCCGGTTCCTCCAACTGGAGCCCAGATATTCTCCTTTCCAATAATTGGGGGTCCCAAGGGTCAAGATCTAAGTTTTCATCTTTGAGGTTCTAGAGAACTGTGGGCTTTGATTGAGCTCTCTGCCCCTTAGTAAGCTGTTAGACCTTGAGCGCGTTACTGGAATTTGAGTTTTCCATCTATAAAATGTGGATGAGGACACCTCCCGGGCCTGTGGCTGTGAGTTAGGAACGCCAGGACACGAAGAACCCTGAAGAAATAAACTTTTACTAATACAACTCCGGAGGCGGGAGGGTAGGGATAACTGCCTCTGCCAGACATGTGAAAAGTGTCAACCCCAGCCTCCAATAGAGCTTCCAACTCCAGCCTCCCAAGCGCTGTCCAAAAGCCCAGGTATGTCTAGAGAGTGAACTACAAGCCCCAGAAGGCAATGCGCAGTGGTGAGCTAGAAGGCTCGGGCTCCCCGGTTTACGCCTGCGCCACGGAGTGTGTTGGACAATGTAAGAAGACTACAAGTCCCGAGAAGCAACGCAGCGAGGTCCCAGTCAGGAATGTTTGCGGCTGCGCGTCGCGGGCGGGGCCTCTGGGGCGGAGCCGCCACCATCTTGGAACAGGAGGCGGAGCAGAGCCGACTGGGAGCGACCGAGCGGGCCGCCGCTGCCGCCATGAACCCCGAATAGTGAGTGAGCCCCGCCTGCGCCGTCCGGCGTAGCCTCGATCCCGAGTACGGGGCTGTGCGCTTACCGGGTTGTCCGGCCCGGGTCAGGACTGTGCGGCGCCCCCACATCCGGGTCCTTCTTCCGCTGACCCCCCCCCCCACATCCGGGTCCTGCCCCTCCCCCGGGGCCCCCAGGACCCCGGCTCCACACCCCTAGTTCTTGCACCCGGGGCCCAGAGACTGCGACCCCGAGGGACACTACTGGGAGCCCGAGGGACTGACCCTAACAGGCCTCATAGGTCAGGTGACCCCGCAGCCCTGGCCTCTCCAGGCCTCAGTTTCCCCACTTGGCTGAAAGTGGCGATCTGGGTGCTGACAGTGGCCTCAGCGTTATGGTCTCTCACCAGACGGTTCCCGGTCTCGGTCCAGACTCGGGCCCTTAAGGTCGGGCCGTCGATCCTTCTGCTCTTCCCGTTCTCCCGGAATCTGGTTCCCGGGACTGGTCCCGGGGCTGGTTAGACGCGGAGGCCCCGAGGCGCCGCTCGCTCCGGGTGGCTCTCCCGCAGGTCCTCCCGCCGCGGGTCCTGCCCCGGTGGGTCCGGCTGCCCCGCCGCTCCCGGTCCCTTCCTGCCCGCTCCTCCCGGCGCAGCCCCAGCGCCGCCGTCACACCCCTTCCCTCGCTGTCACCGCTGATGCTCAGATGAACGGGGCGGCTGCTCCCCTTCCAGGGAGATTCTCTTTCCTCCAAGCCCCGGTCACTCCCCTGGGGGTGGGGGGCCCGCCTCTGCCGGCCTCTCGCTGACAGCGCCCCGAAGAGTCCGCTCTCTTCCCCCTCTGCCTCTTCCCGTTTCTCCTCCAGACCCAGGCCTCACGTCTCCCTGGGGAGCGGGGCTCTGAGCGGATGGTCAGGGGTTAGAGGAGGGAACTGACCGGCCCTCACGGAGACTTGGGGCCTGAACCTGGTGTCCAGTCTCAAAGTCAACAGCATTGTGACTTAGGGCAAGTCACTTCCCTTCTCCCGACTCTGGTTTCCTCATTTACTGGGAATAAGAACACCCCGCTTCGTTGCGAGGCTTAACTGAGAGGGGGCATTTGGAATACTTAGCACTGGGTCAGGCACAGGTAGGAAGTCGGTACATCTCACCTGCTGACTGTTGTTACTGCCCCCTCTTCCGAGAGGCCTCATTCCCTGCTCTTCACACAGATGTTCCCTCTACAAGTTCCAGGCTGGGCCCAGCTTCCACTTTGGGGCCTCCCCTGCCAAGACGGTCCCCCCCCCCCCCCCCCCCCGCAGTCCAGGCAGCTCCCTGGACAGTCCCTGCTGGGCTCCAGACCATGGAGTGTGTCCGGAGTCAGGGTGGGATACCCAGCTCTGGCACCTGACTTTTTGTCATGCCCCTCTCTGGACCTCAGTCTCCCTCTCTGTAAAGTGGGAATTCATACTCATGCCTTTGGCCAGCTGTGTGATGGGGGTGGTCAGCTCTCCCTCCCCTCGGACTTGTGGGAGGATCTTGTGAACACCGTAGGCATGTCAGTGTGGGAGAACGCTGTACCTGTGGCTCCAGGAGGATGGCGGTGGGCTCCCTACCTGCCTTCACACTTTCCCATCCTCTCTCTCTAGTGACTACCTGTTTAAGCTGCTTTTGATTGGTGACTCGGGCGTGGGCAAGTCATGCCTGCTCCTTCGGTTTGCTGTGAGTAAGAAGTCTCCCATACCATCCTTCTGGGTTTCTGGCTGGTGGCTGGAGGGAGAATGGGCAACAGTAGTACAGTAGCTGCCCAGAGCACAGTAGCTGCAAGACCTGGGGATCAAGGATGAAGTTGCAGGACCTGCCAGCAACATAGCTGACTGAACAAGGGCAGGTGGCTGGCAAGCTGGGTGCAATTAGGAGCTTTGCTGGGGCAGGAAACTTGAGGGAGGTTTTCTAGGTAGGCCTCCGGCCTGTCCACTCAGGACAGTTCACTGGCCTCTGATCTTCCAGGATGACACGTACACAGAGAGCTACATCAGCACCATCGGGGTGGACTTCAAGATCCGAACCATTGAGCTGGATGGCAAGACCATCAAACTTCAGATCGTGAGTGTCGCTCTTCCTAAGGCCCCTGGTGCAGGGGCCTCCGCCATGGAAGGCAGGGGCTCTGGGCATGGAACCCAGGGCTGACCTGCCCTCTCCCGTACTGTCTTGTAGTGGGACACGGCTGGCCAGGAGCGGTTCCGGACCATCACTTCCAGCTACTACCGGGGAGCTCATGGCATCATTGTGGTGTATGACGTCACCGACCAGGTACTCTTGGGCTCACCTTCCCCTGCTTTGCTTTCTCAGCCTCAGGTCTTTGACTCCGGCTTCTTTTCACTCTTCCCATCCTCTTCCTGATGTGGCCTGGAAAGCACCGGACCCATTTCACCCAGAGGGAAACAGCAGAAATAGATCCTCAGAGGCCCTGCTGCAGGGTCTTCACAGAGCCAGACCCCGCCCCTCCCCGCCAAACTTGCCACCTTATTTTAGACCATCCAGGCACCTGTGTTTTGAGGGCGTTAAGTCAGTTGATTGGTCGCTGTGCTGGGCCCATGGCCTCCTGTGTAAAGACTCTAGAGAAGCCAGTGGAGAGCTTTAGGCAAGGAAGCGAGGGGGCCCTGCACTCTGGGCGGAGCGTGAGCAGAGGCTTGGGAGCCCAGCGCCGGCTGCGGCAGCATTCGGTGTGTGTCTTTGGCAGCAATAGAAACAGTCACGGCATTCCTCATGGCTGACAGAGCCTGTCCGTCTTTGGTGTGCATAGCCCTCGAGAGGTCTGCATCGTGTTCCCATTTCACAGGTGAGATGGTCAGAGTCCTGCAGCTGGTCACGTGGCAGAGACAGAAAGCCTAGTCTGCTGATTCTACTTCGTTCTTCCTACCAAACCTCGTTGCTTAGTGGGGACCGGGCTCTGGGGACATGGAGATGCTTACTTACAGGAGGAGCCCCTGCTCTTAGGGGCAGCTGAGCTGTCTGGCTCAGCAGGGACTCATGGTGGTGCCTCCTGGACAAACTATGGGTGAACTGTGCTCCACTCAGACAAAGGTCACCAAGGACCTCTAACTGCCAAATCCTGTGACCTCACTTCAGTTCTCGCCCAGATCGACCTCTCGTGGCTTTTAACTCTGTCCTCTGCTAACTCCAGCTCTCCCAGCCCCTGCTGTGCTAGATGATCTTTTCAGTGGCTTTTCACTGCTCCACGCTGTACTGACCTCCATAACCCCATATTTGTGCTTCCTGACCTTGCCCCAAGCCTCCTTCTGACTCCCTGCGTGGTTTTGGCCACTTGGTGGTTTGGCTTCTGTCTTACGTTCTGGGATTCCTATGTCTGAATAGCTCTCACTGTACATCTTCTCTTGGTCCGACATTCCGCTGGTACTTTGTGTCTGTATTCTAATCTTCACAATATTACCCAGTGAACTAAATGGTGGGTCCCTGCTTTCCTGGTGAGGAGACACGCTGGGAGAGGTGTGAAGTAACTTGTCCATGGTTTCACAGCCCAGAAAGGCAAAGCCATTGTTTGAATCCAGGGTTTTTTGCTTCCGAGTGCACCTTTTCGTGCTCCTATACAGCCTCTCCTGAGCTCTGCCCCATCTGTGGCACTCAGCGTGTCCAGCACTGGCCTCACCATCTCTCCCTGAGCCAGCTCTTGCATCCCTCTTAGCCTGATAAGAACACTCTTCCCTTCCCCGTCCAGACAGTCAGCCCCCTCTGCACTCCCTCATCCTCTCTCTCAAATCTGGCTCCTCATAATCGCAGTGATGGGGTACCAGCAGCTCCTAATTAAGCTCTTGTTATGAGACAGGCCTGCATTCATCATCTCATGCTCACAGCCCACTGGGAGGTACTGCTTTACAGAGGGGAGGAAACAGGCTCAGGCCAGGCGACATCTCTAGGGTCACACAGTCAATGGCAGAGCCAGTCTGCCTGGGTCCTGTGCTCTTCCCTGCCTCACTCCCTGGCTCAGGCACAGCTTCTCGTCCCTGTTGGTCTCCATCTTGCTGCTCTGATCTGGCCTCCACTCCTGCCAGGACTGTCTTCCCAGAACACAGGTGTGTTCCTGCCACTCCCTTCCTAAGAAAACCCCCCACTGGCTCCTGGTTGTCTAAGATGCAGCCAGGCTAAGCTCCTCCAGGCGCTAGCCTGCTCCTCGCCCTCTCCCTGCTCAGAGCCTGCGTCCCAGCAACATTCAGCTCCTCCCACTCTCGAAAGGCACCGTGCCCCTCGCACTCTGTGACCTAGCGCATGCCGTGTACTCCCCTTGCACCTTTCCCCGTCCCCTCACTTGCTTTCTCGCAGGCCAGTTCGTCCCTGCAGGTGTGGGTCAGCTGAGCCTCCGCAGGCAGTGGTAGTCCCGGAGCTCAGCAGCTCCCGTCCCTGCAGCACTCAGCGCCCTGTCACGCCACCGTGTGTCCTGGTCTAGTCCTTCCTTTCCCGGTGCTTTAGGGCACGGTCCAGGTCTCATTCCTTCTTTATCCCCAGTGCTCAGCACAGGGCCCAGCCTGGGACATGGCGGGGGGTGTAAGTGTGAACCCCGGTGATACCTGTCCTCTCTGGCTCCAGCACAACCCTGAAAGTTCCATCCTCCCCTCATGCCGGCTGGGGGTCGGGAGTGGCAAATCCCCTGAGCCGAGTGAGGAGGCTGTTGGGGCCAGAAGTAGGATGCACGCTAGACTCTGTTCCCAGGATACCTGTCTCCCTCATAGGCCAGGGTCTCTTCTGCTGCAAGGACCCTTCACCTGTAACTGGCTCCAAGACCTCAACCTTAAAGGGACTATAAGGCCACTGGGAGAACTTGGTGATCCTTGCGAACCTGTTACTCTCGATTTCTCTCTCTTCCTGGCCTCTCTCCTGATGCCATTTGCTCCCCACGGTGGTTGAACCTTTTTTGTGTGTCAGGGAGAGAGAAGCAGCTGCAGGCCCTTAGGCCTACACTGTTTAGGTGCTGGGGCTGTCGGCAGACGGCTGGGGCGGGGCTGGGGCTGGCTTTTGGAGTCTCAGACGGAGGAGGCCAGGGAGGACAGTGGAGCCTGGAGAAAGGCGCTTCCTGTGGGTCCCTTGAGTCCCGGGCTCCTGCTCTCTCAGGAGTCCAGGGCAGCCCTTTCCCCTCAAAGCCCCTGTTCTCCAAGTGTAGGGTAGGGGTGGGGAGCAGAGTAACTTTTGGCCCTGGCTGCCCTAGGAATCCTATGCCAACGTGAAGCAGTGGCTACAGGAGATCGACCGCTATGCCAGCGAGAATGTCAACAAGCTCCTGGTGGGCAACAAGAGTGACCTCACCACCAAGAAGGTGGTGGATAACACCACAGCCAAGGTGAGCGGCCGGGGCCGGGCCTCCCAGGGTGGCTGGGGCGACTGCCTCTCACGCCTCACTTCTCTCCTCTTCTCTCCCCTTGTCAGGAGTTTGCAGACTCTCTGGGCATCCCCTTCCTGGAGACGAGTGCCAAGAACGCCACCAACGTTGAGCAGGCGTTCATGACCATGGCTGCTGAAATAAAAAAGCGGATGGGCCCGGGGGCTGCCACCGGGGGTGAGCGACCCAACCTCAAGATCGACAGCACCCCCGTGAAGCCAGCTGGTGGCGGCTGTTGCTAGAAGGGGCGCGGGGGTGGGACAGGAGGGGCACCTTCTCCAGATGATGCTCCTGGAGGGGGCAGGAGGTGCCTCCCTCTCCTGGGGTATTTGAGTCTGTGGCTTTGGGGTGTCCTTGGCTCCTCATCTCCCTCTGGCCCATCTGCCTGCCACCCTGAGCCTCGGTTCTACCAGGGCCCCCAAGGGAGGACACCCAGGACCTGGGGCTGGGGCACTGTGGGCCTTGCTCTGCTGCTGCCTCTAGGTAACTTTAAAAGATACGCCACCATACACTTTTCTTTGGGATGAGGGCCCCTCTGTCTGTCTCCCTCCACTGGCCCCCATGTATGCTGCAGTGGGTTTCTCTCCTTGTCCTTTTCTCCCCTGCCCAACCCTTCCCCATGAACTGAGGGCCTCCTGGCCTCTACTGCCCAGGCTGAAGTCAGTGCCCGGGGCCAGAAATGGGACCGGGGACCAGAACCTGGGATCCAGGGTCCTAGGTCGGACTTCAGGACGGGCATGGGGGTTACAGGGGCCCAACAGCCCCCCTTTCCCCTCCTCCCTACCGCTCCTCCCACCCCTCCCACACTCACAGCTCCAGCCGTCCAGCCACAGTGAGGTCTGAGCCCATCTAGTGCAGGTGGGCGGGCAGCCGAGCTGGGCCTGTGTCTTGTGCCCAGAGGGAGCCTGCTCTTGCCACCCCCTGCCCTGCCAGAACCAGGCCCATGTGCTGCCTGCCCACCGTGCCCCTTTGTCCTCAAGGCAGGCGGAGGTGGAAGGCACACTGTGCCAGAGGCCGGGCACCAGCCTTAACCCTCACTCTGCCAGCACCTCCCTTCCCCGAGGCAGCGCAGTGGCTTTCTCTCCCCTCCTTGGAGCCTACAAGGGCAGATCCTCATCCTCTGTTGCTACTTCTCTGGGGAATATGGGTGCAACCCAGGGTTGGGGGTCTCTTCTCACCCCCTCCCACCCAGGATCCTAGCCCCTGGCCCTCTGGCACAGCTTCTTCCTGCAAAAAAAACCTTTGTTCTCTACCTGACAAGCCATGTCCCGTGTGCTGTCTCGCCTGTCCCACCTGTGCCCTGCCTTCCAGCTTGTATTTAAGTCCCTGGGTTGCCTCTTAGGGTGCCCCCCTTCTCCCAGGTTCCCCTCTGGTCATGTCAGGCATTTTGCAAGGAAAAGCCACTTGGGGAAAAGACAGAAAGGACAAAAAAATAAATTTCCACTGGCCCTCCGGTGAGCCGAGGGTTTTTGCAAGGAAGTTGTGGTGGCTGTGTGTGGTCTGTGGTGGGAGCCCCTTGAGGTAGGGGTTGGAACTGGAGCCCTGGGCTTGGTGGGCTGCACAGGGGGCTGGGCGTGGGCTGTATCTCAGGGTTGCTGTCCAAAGTCCTTGACCCACTTCCCGAAGCCAGGAGAGCTGCGGGCTTGTGCTGTGGTCTGTCCCCATGGGGCCCAGCACGATTCCAACAGGGGAGGAGGCAGGCCATCAGCGAGTACCTGGTGATGCCAACACGCCCTCGGCACACAGGCTGTGAATGGGCAATAGCGGGGCACCCCAGGCATTGTGCCCCACTGGGCCTGGCCCATGTCTGCCCAGCCCTGTGGCTCAGCCCCCTCTCTGGCTTCACTGGCTTCAAGCCAAGCTTCTGCCCCCGATGGTGGCAGTGCTTCCCGCTTAAGACCTCAGTACTCCCTCTGGCCGGTGGGTGAGAGCGGGGGTGAGTGCTGGGCCGAGTGGACCTAGTCGGGCTGGTGGGTTTGTTGTCTGACACCCGGGCAGGTGGAGGGGCGCATGTGCCAGAGGTGAGCGTCCCGCCTACGAGTCACTGAGGTTGGGGTGGGCGGTGGCACTCGGACCCGGTCGCACTGGCGGCTGGGCTCACGGAGACCCGGCCCCGCCCGAGGCCGCTGGCACGGCGGCCCCGCCCCCGGCTCCGCCCCGCCGGCTTCACGGGCTGGAGAGAGGGAGCCGCGGGCGAGGGATCGCAGGATGAGCGATCGGGGCCCGGGCAGTCGGCAGCGGACGCGCCGCCCGAGCCCACCGGCCCGCGGCCCCGGCCCCGGCCACGCCGCCAGCATCCCCCGAGCCCGTGCCCGAGCCCTGCGGGCCATGCCCGGCCGGCCCTAAGCGCGGGCCGGGGGGCGTCCCCTTGCGCCCGGGCCCCGCGCTGGCGCCCCCCGGGCCGCCGCCCGGCGGGGGGGCCATGGCGTTCACCTTCGCCGCGTTCTGCTACATGCTCACCCTGGTGCTGTGCGCCTCCCTCATCTTCTTTGTCATCTGGCACGTAAGGCCCGGCTGGGGTTGGGGGCGGGGTGGGGCAAGGGGCGCACGGAGCGGGAGGGGACCAGAAGGATGGATGGTCTCTGGGCCCAGGGAAACTTGGAGATTCCTCTTTGCTCTCCCCCACCGACCGGCTCCTGTTGGCCCCCATTAATACCCCTCTGGTCGGCTTCCCTTCCCAGGGGGGCCCCCCTTCCTCCGCCGCCCCCGCCTCTCTGACTCCCTTCCCCTGCCCCAAGCAGCTTTGGAGTATGGGGTGGGATTCTGGGGTTCTTGCTTCTCCCCCCCCCCGCCACTACCATCACCATCCAGGTGCCCCCGTTTCCGTCGGTCTGCTTGCTCCCCCCACCACCACCTTGTGGGTTTTTCCAGCCTGAGTGATGGAGCCGGTTGCTATGGCAACTGCATCTGTTTACAGGACCCACAGATTGCAGAGCCCATTAACCCTTTTTCTTCCCATCCCCCTCCTGACCCAGCAGCCATTGCCTCTAAGCAGCCCCAGAGACCTGGCCACCACCACCAGCTCACCTTGGGTTTCCCTACCCCTCCTGTCTGGGCTTCCCTCCTCCCCCCCACCCCCCAGGTCTCCTCCCCACTTTCCAGCTTCCCTCCTCTTCCTGCCCCCGCGTTCCCCTTTGTCTGCTGTTCCCTCTAGTTTGTCTCTCACTGTGGCCTGGCCTCACACCTGGCCCTTGAGAATCTCCATTTCTCATTTCTTTATCCTGATCACCTTGCCTTAGAGAGGTTCCCTCTCCCCTGTTCTCTCTCTGGGCCCTCGTGGTGGTGCCCCTGCCTGGCTCCCTTCCTCTCACCACAGAACCATCAACCAGCCTTTCAGCTCATTGTTTGGGGCCTTTAGCGCTCCCCCCTCCCCCTTCGCTGCCTTCCCTCCTCCTCTGTCCCTCCTCAGCCCCCATCACACAGTCAACCTATCTCGGCCCTGGCCCACTCAGCTCTGCTGGCACTTCCAGGACACACGCCCTGATCTTTCTTTCCTCTGGGGGGGTTACCCTTACCCCCCTCAAGCCCTTCCCTGTCCCCCCTTCCTTCTCACTTCTTCCGCATTGTCTCACCTGCCTCTTTCCTGGTCTCCCCACTTCCTTTTCCTGGGATTTGCTGCCTGCCTGCTCCGTGGTCCTCCCCAGCTCTTGACCAGTCTCCCTTCACCATCCCCTGCTGCCCCCACTGCCTGTCTCCTTTGTATCAGGACTCTGTGGACTCAACTGTCTCTCCTGTGTAAGGAGTGAGCTCCCTTAGGCACCTTCACACACACACACACACACACACACACACACACACACACACACCATCTCCAGCCCTCTCTCTCCCTGACTTTGTCTTTCTCTCTGGGCCTTGCAGTTGCTTTTTCCTTTCCCTCCCCCTTTTTCTGTTCTCTTCCCCTCTCTCCATCCCCCCGGGGTCCATCTTGGTCTCTCTGAGTCCCCTATTTCATCTGGGCCTTGGACAGTGCTATGGGGTAGGAGCAGGAGGGCTGATTCCTGAGGACTGGAAGGAATTGAGACTGGGAACTCAGAGCTAACCAGCTCCTGGGAGAAAGGCTCCTTGAATTCAAGAAGCCCCTTTCTGGGCCCCTCCTTACCCAGAGGCCTCCCACAGTCCCTATGGGGGGTCACCCCTTAGTCCCTGTCCTTAGGGGGTCCTCAGAGAAGTCATCCATCCAACTAACGTGTGTCCATGCTTCCTGAGAATCAGCTCTGGGTGGCTTTGGGAAAGCCAAGGATGAATAAGACTCAGGCTTTGCCCTTGTGGGGTTCCCAAGCTGGGAGAAAGGCCCAAGCTTTCTCAACAAATATTTATTGAGCACCTACTCCATGTCAGGCACTGTGTTGGCTCAACTATCTTGCTGGGTGATCTAGTAAAGATCCCTCATTCTGAGTTTGTTTCTTCGTCGGTAAAATGGGCTTGTGGTGTGGACATTACAGTGCCCAGAGCAGGGCCTGCTCAGGGGGTGCGGTGGGGACAAGAGGTGTGGTCCTACATCCAAATTGGTAAGAATTAAAATCTTTCAGGGCAGGACCCCAGATCCCACCCCACAGCCTGAGCCCAAGCCCACTTGGTCGCTAGGCAACCCTGATGGTGAGTGACGCGTGTCAGCTGTCACCGTGGGGGATTGTTTGTTCCAGGGGACTGAGTCAGCGCCAGGCAGTCTGGGGGGTAGGAGGCGAGACACCCGCCTCCTGCTGATGGTACCCGCTCTGGGGCAGGCAGACAGCACCCTTCCACTCCCTGCTGGACCCTGTTTCTGTGCCTGGCAGGCAGGTGGCTGCCCAGAGTCAATAGGGAGTTGGGGGTGCTGCTCCAGATGGAGCACAGGAAGCCCATGTTCTCTCCCTCCCAGCCGTCTGGGGTCTGGGCTGCTAGGGTGTGGTGGGCCTGCTGTCTCATCTTAGGGCTGCTGCTGAGGGGGGGTAACCCCAGAAGGCTTCTCCCATGCCAGTTCTCCCAAGGTCTGTCCCATCATCCCCTCAAACACCTGCCCGCCCCCCAAGTTTCCCATCCCAGTGAGAATACTGCCCCACCAGGTGCCCTAACACACAAAGGCACCTTGGGCTCCTCTGTCTCTGTTCCGATGCTATTCAGGCTCTCTGGGGTCTGGCTTTTAAAGAACTCTGGGATCCATCCACACCTCTACATCCCACTGCACTCCCTTCACTCAGGTCACCATCAACACCAAACACTCTTTTAACAGTCCCCTCATTGGTCTGTTCTGAGTATGATAAGGTGGTTAAGGATTTTACTCTAGAGTCTGAATCAGAATCCTGTCTTGCCACTAATTAGCTGCGTGGTCTTGGACTAGTCCAGTGGTTCTCAACCTGTGGGTCGCGACCCCTGAAAATATATCCTGCATATCAGATATTTACATTATGATTCATAACAGTAGCAAAATTACAGTTATGAAGTAGCAACGAAAATAATTTCATGGTTGGGGTCACCACAACATGAGGAACTGTATTAAAGGGTCGCGGCATTAGGAAGGTTGAGAACCACTGGTCACTTCTCTGTTTCCTTGTTTGCAAAATGGAAATAATAGCAACATCATCGGGTTGTTGCAAGCATTAATGAGTTCACAAACATAAAGCCTGCTGGCCTAGAGTAAGCATCACGTACATCTTGGCTGAAACTGTTAGCCAGTTTGTAACTCCTGCTCCATCAATTCTATGTCATCAACTTGGCTCCCCCCCTCTGCTGCATTATACCCCTCAAATGGCTCCCCATTACTTGTTTGTTCAAGTCCAAACATCTGATCCAGCCCCACAGAGCACCCATGGCTGACGGCTGACCTCTCCAGCCCATCTTTCCCCAGTTTCTTCTTCTCACTCACCTCACTCATTCTAGCCCCATGGAATCTGCAACTTCCAGAATATTCTTTCAGCCCTTTGCCTTTGAACCTGCAGTTCCTGCTGCTCAGACTGCCCCCCCCACACACACACACACACCCCATTTGTTCACCAGACAAACACCGGAGTCCGGCCGGAACCCTGCATCACCCCCACACTGGGTCAGGCACCCACTTCAGGGTCTCCCTGTGCCCTGCAGCCCGATCACCCTGGAATGCAGTCAGTTCTCCCAGGCCTGGGGTTCCACCAGGGCAGGAGCCGTGTCGCAGGCCTTGGGGGGCCCCAGTGCTTGGCACAGGGCTCGGCAGAGAAGACACCACCTCAGGGTGTTTGGGATGGAAGCATCATGGACTGGCCTGTATTGGCATCACTAGGGCTCTATTCCAGACTCGTGTGACCTTGGGCCACACCCTGCCCTTCCCTGAGCCTGTTTCTCCGTCTGGTCTGGCCCCCATGTATGAATTACTGTCCCACAGAAGGACGGGTGGAGGGCCATACGCTGCTGCTCCAACCCTGACAGGCACACACCCCTCCCCCAGATCATAGCCTTTGATGAGCTGCGGACCGACTTTAAGAACCCCATCGACCAGGGGAACCCAGCGCGGGCAGTAAGTGATACATGTGCTGTGCCGAGGTGTGTCCGTCCGTCTGTCTTTCCATCTGTTGTGGGCTAAGTGGGGTGGGGGCCGGGAAGACGGGTGTGTATGTGCGGAGGGAGGAGGACCCGTGGCTTTGCCCCTTCTTCTGTCTGTCCCCCCCCCCCCCCCAGGTGAAAACACCTGGCGCGGGCTCAGGGCTCGGGTTCCTCCTGGCGGGGCAGCCGTTGCCAAGCTCCGGGCCGTTGCCGTGGTGATGCGGGTGAAAGTCCCGCCATGGTGACGGTTGCCATGGGGATGGTGTGGCTGCTTTCCTGCCGAGACTGCTCTGGTGCCCCCTGGCGGCCACATGCGGGGCGGTGCGGGAGCCCTGGAGGGCGGCGGGCTCCTCCAATACCTGCTCCTCCACCACCCCATCCCCACCACGGCTTTTTCCTCCCCTACAGCGCGAGCGTTTAAAAAACATCGAACGCATCTGCTGCCTCCTGAGGAAGGTCAGTGTCAGGGCTGGAGGCAGGAGGCTCCTAGCCCAGCTCAGCCCCTTCTGTGACCTTCCTCCTCTGGAGCCTGTCTGATCTGCTCTGCCACCGGGGAGGGAATGGGAGGCTAGAGGCCCTTTTAGTTCCCAGAGATCACGGTGGGTGGGCAGTGCCCAAATCCCAGCTCCCCTCCATGCCCTTGAAGCTCGGGTTTGTCCTGGCACCAGGCCGCTGACCTCTCCCCTTCACCCCCAGCTGGTGGTCCCAGAGTACTCCATCCACGGCCTCTTCTGCCTGATGTTTCTGTGTGCAGCGGAGTGGGTGACCCTGGGCCTCAACATCCCCCTCCTCTTCTACCACCTCTGGAGGTGAGGGAAGCAGCTGCCCCGGGGAGGGTGCGATGGGGGAGCTGGGCAGAGGGGGTGGGAGCCGGGATGGTGGGCACTCAGGGCCCTCCCTCGCCCAGGTACTTCCACCGCCCTGCGGATGGCTCTGAGGTCATGTATGATGCAGTCTCCATCATGAATGCCGACATCCTCAACTACTGCCAGAAGGAGTCCTGGTGCAAACTCGCCTTCTACCTGCTCTCCTTCTTCTATTATCTGTACAGGTGAGGCCCTGCCCACAGAAGTCAGGGAAGGGGTGCTCCAGGCACCATGCCCTCAACCCCAGGAATAGTTGGGCTTCTAGTTCCTGCCCTTTGCCCTGGAGGACTGAGAGCAAGCCAGGGTGTGGCAGGGTGGGCAGCCAGCAGCTGGGCCTGCTCAGGTCTCCCCTTACTGCCTCGTCTCCCCACAGTATGGTTTATACGCTGGTGAGTTTCTAAGGGGGAAGCTGGCCAGGGAGCGAGCCCAGAACGGACCGGACGCCTGTGCACCCCCAGCCCTGCTCCTCGGCCGCAGTGGCCTCAGCCCTGAGGAGGGAAGGGGCACTGGTGCCCCCAGCCTCCTCTCCACCCCCCAAACTGCTGCTGCGGGGACCTCCCGCCTTCAGAGCCCACTCCCCTTGGACTAGGGCTGGGCAGAGCTCTAAATAGGGGCAGGAGCTCCTCTGCCAGCCTGTGGGCATGGCGGTCAGTCCTGGAAGGGGCGGAACCTCCGGCCTTGTCCAACTTTGGGAAGGACTTGGGGCCCTGCCAAGGGGCAGGGCTTGACCCTGGAAGTTCTGGGCCAGCCCCCTCAACCCCACCCTGAGGCTCCCCCTGCAGGTGGGGGGGTACCCACACCCAGAATGAGCAGGCTCAGCAGGGGGGCAGTCCCACTCCTAGCCTGCCCTCTCCCCTTCCCCAGGCTCTCTCTTCAGACTCCTTCCTGTCCCCATTTGCCCCAACCCAGCCCACCTGTCTCTTGGACCTATTTTCTATGTTGCCTGGAGGAGTCCGGCACCCCCTCCCCGGCCATTTGTGACAAAATATGAATAAACTACTGCAAACACCTGGGCCCGTTCTGCTCCTGAAAGGCTCCAAGAGATGGGGCAAAGGGACTATAGAAGGAACAGCCATGAGCTACACCCTCAGCACGCTAGGCTTGTGCACCAGCCCACAGGCCCCTCTGGGGACCCCCTCAGATGGACCAGAGGCCTTAGAGGTCTCCCTGGCAGCTGTCCCCTTCCATCATCATGTTCCCAGACATAAACAGCTGTTCCTAATAAAACCCTTCCACTTGCCTTACAAGGAAATATCAAGGTCACTAACCCAGGAAGCCCTCCCTGGGGTCCCCCTTCTTCTAGACCAGTGGTTCTCAACCTTGGCTGCACATTAGCATCACCTGGGAATCTTTTGAAAATCCTGATTTCTGGGCCTCATCCTCCGGAAATTCTGTTTCTTTGTTACTAATGTTGTGGCCTCACCCCAGAACAAAGAAACAGAATTTCCGGAGGATGAGGCCCAGAAATCAGGATTTTCAAAAGATTCCCAGGTGATGCTAATGTGCAGCCAAGGTTGAGAACCACTGGTCTAGACAGTCCCAAACCTGTTCCCCTGGACACTGCAAAGGTGCCAGCAACCGCCCCCGCGCCCCCCCCCCCCCCCAACACACACAGGCCCCAGAAACAAGGGTCAAACAAAATCAAGGAAATCAAATCTTTAATGTATGGAAAAATCAATGCCAGTGGGGGCCAGGGGTCACCGGACCAGGTGGAAGGTCAGCCAGTATATGATGAGGGGCTGGAAGGCTGCAGCTCCCAGAGTCAGGTAGAGCTGGAGACGCTGCCGGGGGGCCGGGGCCCCCATGCTGTCGGGGCCCAGGGCTGCTGTTCGCAAAGAGCGCACCTGGAAGAAAGGAGAGCTGCAGCTGACTGGGGCGGAGGAGGGCTCATCCCCAGCTCCAACCTGGGGAGGACGGGGCAGGGGGCAGCCCAGACTCACGATGAAGTACATGAGTGCAGACGACGTCCAGGCCAGCGCCACGTAGTAGCCATCGCTGCCAAAGAGCAGCCCCGTGAGCACACTGAGGATCATCCTGCAAGGCCAGGGTGGGGAGCAGGCTGGAGACCCCCACAGGGGTCCAGGCCTGAGACTGGCCCCACCAGCCAGGGCCCAGAGCCCAACGTAAACCCCACCCACCACCACCCAGGACTTTTCACCCCCCCGTCTGTCCCCACAGGGACCTAGACTCAGAATGAATCCTGAAGGCCCAGGACTCAGCCCAGGACCTGGATCTGAGACCTCCCTCACTGCCCCAGCTCCAGCCCCTTCTCCCCTGTGCTCCCATGTGACTGACTGTCCAGTCCCCACCTGACAACACTACACGTTCCTGAAGCGACTGCTGGAAACAGTCTCTCTAGTAGAGGAGACAGGCGGAGAGGGGCAGAGGCACGTCCAGGGTCACTGTTCCAGGCTACGCTGTGCAGGCCAGGAACCCAGGGCCCAGAGCCCTCCCCAAGGCCAGCCTCCCGCTGGGCTCCCAGGTGCTCACCCGACATATTTGTAGCCGCTGTAGGCCAACAGGTGGAAGGTGCTCAGGTCACTGCGAACGGTGGCCAGGTAGACGCCCAGGAGCAGGGCCAGCACCTCCAGCACAACCCACACCAGAGCTGTGCTTGCGCACAGGCCCAGCACCTCTGGGGAGAACCTGTGGCCAGGGGGGCGGGGGCAGGTGTGAGACTGGGGGCTGGGAGTGGGCTTGGGACCTGGCACAGATCCCCTAGGCTGCTGTGGAGAAGAGCAGGAATGGGGAGGGGGCTGGCACTGACCTTTTCTGAATGCCCAGTGCCATCCCAGCCAGCAATACATAGGTGATGAAGGCCATTGCTGCCAAGAGCCAGAGAGACGCCATCAGGCCTGGTTTCCTCAACCAGAGCCCTCCCCAGCTAGGCATTTGAGGCCACTGACACCCTTACCTCCCCCTCATACCTCCTTCCCTGCACATCCCAACTTGGCAACTGTCACACTCAGCCCATTCTCCCGTGTAAATGCCACCCGATCCTTTTCTCAGGACCACCAAGCCATCTGCCTCTGTCCCTGTGCTAGGAAACTCACCAAAGTTCCCTGCTGTGTCTCAGAAACATCACTGGTCAAGGCTATTGCTCATCCTTGACCCACAGGCAGGGGTCAAACTGATCTCAGGAGAAACCATAGGACCAAAGTGCAGGTTGGATGGACTAACCAGGCTGTCCCTGGGTACAGGCCATGGGGGTGACCTCATTGCAGCCAGTTCTAAGTCTGGACATTGGTGCCAGCTACAGCTCTGGCCACCCTGCCCAGGTAGAGCTCCACGTTTAACTGTTTGCACCAAAGCTCAGAGCCAGTGGGAGCCGGGCTTTCACAGCTTTACTAGTAACTCATCGGTCCTGTCCTCTGCCCGCCTGAAGCACCAGAACTGATGTGTCCACCAGAGGGCAGTGTTTGGGATCAGGAAACCAGCTCTACCACCTGCAAGATACTCAAGTCTCTGAGCTTGGCTTCTCCATGTAACATGAGAGTGGAGTTCCCACCTTACTCGGTGGTCCCGAGAGGGAAATGGAATGAAGGATGGAAGAAGAACCCATGTCCCTCCTTGGGCCCTGGGCTGGCCGGGGCACTCTCACAGATCAGAGGAGTCAGATGTAGAGTCTGCCAGCCACAGCCAAGCGTGGGCAGCCTGACCTGTGCCATGTGGACGGGCAGTTTGGGAACTGAGAAGGGAGGGGACTTTTGAGCAGGCCTTGGGGACAGTAATAATGATGATAACAGCTACTCGTTACGGGATGATTCCTACGGGCCAGGTGCTGTGCTGAGTGCACCCCACCTCACCGAGCCTCCACCACACGCCTTTGCGGGAGGCACTGTTTTACAGGAGAGTGAGAGTAGCCAGGAGGAGGTCTAAATCCAAGGCTCCAGGCTGGGGAGGCACACAGTCCGAGTCAGGAGGCAGGAAGGTGTCACAGGGGTGTCCCCTGAGGTCGCTGAAGGCATACCCAGGAAGCTCCTTCCTGGCCACCCCGCTGTCTCCCTGGTATTGCGTGACTGCCACACACAAAAGCCCCAAGAGCAGACACTGAATCAACACATGACTCTCCTCGTTGGTGCCGCAAGACACAAGTCCCCTCACATCCCCCCGCCCAGGTCAAGACTCACTGGGAATATAGAGGTCAGGGGCGTTGAGGTCTTGTCGCGGGGGCAGAGGGACATCACGACTGTACTGCACTTCCCAATTCTGGCAATGGCAGCGGCAGCCCAGTCGAGAGGAAAAGACAAGAGAGGAAAGAAGGGGTTGAGGTGTGGGGGCCAGACTGCGGAGCAGGATGAGGGAGGCAAGGGGGCCTGCCAGCTCACCTGGTGTGTGTAGGGGAAGACCAGGAGCCCTAGCTTCTTGGCCACATAGGCTGTGTCCACAGCGAAAAAGTACTTGAGTTTGTTGACAGACACAAAGCGGTGCAGCTGGGAGGGAAGAGAGAGGAGGCTGTGGGCACAGGGCACCCGGACCTCGGGGTGCTGGGAGGGTCAGGTGGGATTGCGTGATGCCCCAGCCTTGGCCAGAGATCCTGCCACCCTTGCCCTGGGGGAGCACCACACCTCCTTGTGCACAATGTCCTTCCCATGGGATGCGATGGAACTGCCATAGGCCATAGCCACGTTGGCCACTGGGTCCCCAAGCAAGTGGTTGACATTGAAGGCCACGTCGGCTCCTGGGGCTGGGTATCCCCCTGGCTGGATGGAGTAACCACCGCTTGTGTCATCGAAGAGGGGAGGGGGGTCCGGGGCGGCCCGGGTCCTGTGCTTGGAGCCTGTGGGTTTGTAGGTAGCAGAGGAGGTGTCAGGAATACCCAGCATGAGCCCAAACCGCCATCCCTTCCCCAGGGGTTCTTCTCAGAGGCGCTAAATGTGGGCAAAGAAAGAGCTGGGGCAGTGCCTGGACGCGGCTGCCCACCGCGGGGTTCCCGGGGGCCTTCTCAAGGGAAGTGATCTCCGAACAGCCTGGGACAGTGAGAAGCTTGCTAGGCGGAGAAGACAATGGCAAGGGCATCTCCAAATGAAAAAGGTGGGAAAGGCGACGGCTGGGCACCCGAAGACCCCGGGCAATGGTCGGGGACCCAGCAGCGTCATGACAGGGAAAGGCAGTTCCGGAGGCGGCCCCGTTCGTGCCCGGGTCCGGCACGGGGATCCCAGCTGTGCCGTCACTGCCCCATCGCAAGATCGGCCGAGAGGGCGAAGTCCAGGACGCGTTGTCGAGTGGAGCTGGGCAGGAACCCTAACGACACCCGCCACCCCGGGCAGCGGTCAGGCCGCCCCTTCCCTCGGGGTGAGAGGGCCGTGCCGCCGACCCTCCGGAGGCAGGTCGGGCCGCGCCCCGCCCGCCCCACGCACCGTGAGCTCCGTAGCCGGAGTGATAAGCCATGGCCGCGACGCTCGCTCTCCCGGAGGGCCCGCTGCGCTGCCTCGTGGGCACGAATACTAATGAGGCAGCTGCTCCGCTCCCGGAGCCCCGACCGGAGTTACCGAGCAGCCCGACACGTCCCCGGGCTGTGCTACCGCAGCCGCCATGTCGGCAGCGTCATCGTGAGCCACCTGCCATTGGCCCTTCGGCGGCGGCGGCCCGTCCCTCCCCTCCTCCAATTGGCTGCTGCCAATCCGTCACCGAAGCGGATTCGGCAGCGGCCGACTTCCGGGAGGGGCGGAAAGCGGAGCAATTCGAGGTGCTCTCGGATTGGATAGTGGATTTGCAGGTTCGGCCGGAGCAGCCAATAGGCAAGTTGCTGTAGAAGGGTGTTGAGAGTTACTTCCGCGCTTGCGCAGTGGGCACTTGATGCTAGTCTTGCCACGACTACACCTGGCGGACACCCGGCGTAGACCGGCTGCGGCCGGGGTCCGGGAACAGAGTTCCACTCGCCGCACCTACTCCAGGAGGGAAGGGCGATGGGGCTCTGGCCAAGCCCCGCCCTCTGGTCTTTGGCCCCTCGCTCTCATACTCGCTTTCCTCCCCCGTCCCCCACACCCCCAGAGTCCTGGCGTGGAGCCCGGGCTGCCTGGGAGGTGTTGGTAGGAGGCCGGACTGGGCAGTGACAGCACAGCCCAGCGAACCGGAGATGCCGACTCCTCCTCCAGCCTCCCACCCCTTTTTCTGCGCGGGTGCTGTCCGTCGTCGGGTGCTGAAATGGTCTACTGCCACTGACGCCATCCTGCAGACCCCGGCCGGTGGCCTGCTGCTGGAAGGTCCTGGGCTCTCGATCCACACCAACACCATTACACAGATTGAAAAACTGAGGTCCTGAGATTGGATGGTATAGTTGGGACAGGATCCTGACCAGGCCTGTTCTGTGGTACAGCCTGTTTGGGGATGGAGATGTGCTGCTGTTGAAACACCTGAGTCACCGCTGGCCCTGCGGTCATCTCTAAGTGAGACCCCCCACCCCCAAGCCTCACTCGTGATCCCCGGGCCTCCTTTCTCCCCACCCAGTTTCTGAGCACTCAGCCTCCCCCGAGACAGTCCTCAGGCACCACTTTCTAGAGAGCAAGATCGGGTCCTCCGTGACTTCCCTCTAGTTAGCTTCCCAGTGTCCAGTTACACCCGGTGACTTTCCGGCCCACGTGGTCCAATCTCAGTGCCTTTGCCCCAAAGTCCCCTCCACCTGGGATGCCCTTCTCCCACATATCCACTTGTCCAAAGTCTAGCTATCCTTTAAGGTCAGTTCTACTTGTGTCTCTCAGAGAGACAAAGGGAAGAGAGGCCTAACCTGGCTTGGGGTGGAGACTGAAGGTCAAGTTCTAGGTTCCCTTTGGCTGCACCAGTTTGCCCTGCATGTAACTTCCATGAGGACAGGGCTGGTGTCTTCTCCACTCCTGCCCTTGTCTTCACTGTGCCGAGCACAGTGCTTGCATATAGAAGACACCCAATAAACATCGGTGTCAATAAATAAATAATGAATGGATAGAACCCAGGGTCAGTCCTTCCTTCTCTCTACCATTGCAGCGACCACAGCTTTGAACGGGCAGGGGTGTTGAACCGAATGGCCTTTGAATTGCCCTTTGCGGGGGCGGGGGAGGGGGGATGACAAAACAAACCCTGCCTGCATTGCAGCTCCCTATGTCCCACCCACCGACTGTCTAGCTTGGGGGCTAGGCCCAGATCCAGGGACAGGCGTGAAGGTCTGAGGCCCCTGAGGACCAGGGAGCAGCGCTGGAGCGACAGGGACCTGGGAGGAGTCCCCCCATGCAGCACGGGTGCCACCCCCTGAACCGTGTGGTGGATGTTTGTGCTTTGATGGACTCTAGCGCCCTTCCATCTGCATCGCTCCGGTGGGGAAAGTGAGGCTGCGGATGCAGAGCGCCACCCAAGGTCACACAGCCGAGCGTCCTGAGTCAGCCTGCGGAGTGGAACCCAAGCCTCTGTCCAGCTAATCGGGCGCTACCTCTGTTTCGGCTGGAACTGCCTCCCTCCTACAAGCGAGGCTTCCCGGCCGGGGTCTGGGCGGACTCAGGCCTGCGCCTGCTCCTCAGCAGTAGACACCCACCTTCGCAGTTCTCCTTCCTCATTTCACAGCGGGGGTCGGGGAGCGGGAGAAACTCCCCCGGAGAGCAGAGACTCGCCCAGGATCACCCCCGCCAGCGCGGCAGGAGGGGGACCCAGGCCTCGGTCCACCCAGCCTGGGCTTCTTGGGGGCTGGGGCAGCACCCGCGGTACCAGGCTCTGCTGGCGGCGCCGCCGGTGCCGTGGGGGCGGGGTCAGCGGAGGGCGGGGCGCCGGGCACCGAGGCCGCCAACGCCGCCGCCGCCGCCGCTGCCACCGCGCGCTCGGGCGAGCTCGGTGCACTCCCTCCGCGGCCGCCGAGCCGAGCGGACGCCCTCCGGGGCGAGCGGCAGCCCTCCGTGCTCCCCTATCATGCCCGGGGCCCGGGCCCTGGTCGCCCAAGCAGCCAGGACACCATGCCCGAGGGCGGCGGTGGCGATGGCGGGGAGGTGCCTGCACTCATCACGGACGGCGAGCCGCTGCGGGAGGAGGTATGGGCTCTGAGTGGTGGGGAGCCGGAGCCGGGTCGGAGCGGGGAACGGGGGGCAAGGGAAGGGGCGGATCCCGGGGCAGGGGCTGAGGTGGGAAGTCCTGAGCCCCTGCGGACAATGACGTCATTGGGGTAGCCTGCGCCCTGCGAGGGGTCGGGGCCTAGGGACCCGCGTGGGTGCAGGGGCGGGGCATCTGGGAAGGGATGTGGGGGGCGATTCCCGCCCCCTCGTCCCCTGTTCCAGCTTCCCCCTCCTGTGACGTCAGCGCCTGGTCCCTCAGGTCCCCATTCCGCAGCAGCGCTGCCCTCACCCCCAGGGCCCAGGGGTCAGGCCCCCAGCCCGTCCTGGCGGCTCACGAAGTGCCAGGCAGAGCCTGCAATGCAGCAGCAGTAGCAGGGACTTGGGGGCGGGGGTGGGGGGGCGTGTAGGGAAAAAGGTAGGGAGGAGGCCTCTGGTACCCGTTTCCTCACCCCGCTGTGAGGGCCTAGGCCTATCCTGCTGGCTGGGACCCCCAGGATGGCTCCTCTTCAGCCCTAGCTGGGAAGAGGACCTGCAGGGGTGTGGGGCCCAGGGTGGGGTGAGGGGTGATAAGTGGTGATCGGGTCTATGTGTGTGTGGGGGTGAATGCAGTGTGCTTGTAGGTGTGTGAACGCTGGTCCATACTCCCCACACCTTGGGTGGGACATATGGACCCTAAAGTCAGGTGAGGTGTGATGGCCGCTAGGCCTGGGTAAAGTGGTCATGTGTGAGTGCATGTGCGTGTCTTTTTGTGAGAGTCTCTCCTGTAGAGTCAGTCTGTGGGTGTGGGTGTCAGATTGCAGAAGGGGGTGGGGGTGGAGAATGTACTGTGGCCACGTGAGGGCCTGGTGTGTTCCTGGACTGCAGTGAATGTGTAACATGTATATGCATGCGTGTGCCCTGTGGTGTATGTGTGCATGTGTGTCTGCACACCATGTTGTGGTGTGGGGATAGGGGTTGTGCCCTGGGCACAGGTGAGGATCTGGTGTGTCTTGGATGAACAGGCTGCATACACACCTGCGGTGGGTGGGTCTGGGATGAATGTGTGGGGTGGGATGTGTGCATGAGTGGGTGTGTGCATCGCTGGCCCTGCGGGTCAGGGTGGTGGTGTGCACCTGTGGGGGCTGATGCAGGGGGAGGGCAGGCCCTGGGCTGGGATGGGAGTGGTTCATTTCTCCTTGGGCCTCTCAAGGCCTGCTGGGTTGGAGTGGGAGAGGCGGCCCATTAACCCCACCTCTGCTATTTCCACCAGACCACCTCTCCCCTTTCCTGTTTTCCCCTCCTCTCCCAACGGCCTCCCCTTTCTCTCTCCATAGGCACCTTGGGGATGAGGTGAATGACAGGCTGGCAGCCCTGCCAGGAAGGGTGGGCCAAACCTTCTGGGCCAGGGAGTGGCCCCTGCAGCCCAGCAGCTGTGTCCCACCCCCTCCTTCAGCACAGATGGGGAGTGGAGGCCGGCACTCCATCTGCTCCCCCCAGACTCACACCTCCCCGTTCCCAGCTCTTCCTCTTTCCGGTTTCCTTAAAAGCCTGGCCCAAGTCTCCTGCTGTCCCTAGTGGAACCAAAGGACCGAAGGGAGTCTCAGGGTGACAGTAATAATATTCATTCCCATGGCCAGACCCTGTGCTGAGCTCTTCACACGTATGATCTCATTGAATCCTCTCAACAACCCCAGTGCACAGATGAGGAAATTGAGGTGCAGAGAGCATGAGGGACCTGCCCAGGTCATACAGTGAGCGGTGGCGCCAGCACGGGGTCCTGGGCAGTCGGCTCCAAAGCCCATCCATGCTCTTTGCCCAGAGGGCCCCTGCCACCCTGGCCTCCCACACCACCAGGTCTGGGAACTGAGGCCCAGAGAGGGCAGGGATATGACCATGACCACACCACAAGTTTGGGGCAGAGCCGGGACAAGAACTCACTTTTCTCAATGGCCAGTTAGAGGGTGCTTCCTTCTCTTGGCAGAGATGGGTCGTTTTGTCCTAGATGCCCTTGACTGAGAACTGACCCGCCCAGCGCAGATAGGCCTGGGTTTGAGTCCTGCAGCCCTACTGTGTGTTAGCTAGAATGGTGAGAGGCCTGGAGTTTGTTATTCAACCTCTCAGAGCCTCGGTTTCCTCATCTGTAGAGAGGGCAGCACAGCACCACCCCCGCCACTGCGCCTGCGTGGAGTGGCAGGCGCAGTGACAGCCGCCCTGACGTGGCCTCCCTCTCTGCCCGCCCTGCAGCAGCGGCCCCTGAAACAGTCCCTGGGAAGCTCCCTGTGCCGCGAGTCCCACTGGAAGTGCCTGCTCCTCACGCTGCTCATCCACTCCTGTGGCGCCGTGGTGGCCTGGTGTCGCCTGGCTACGGTGCCTCGGCTGGTCCTGGGGCCCGAGGCGGCCCTGGCCCGCGGGGCCGGGGCCCCGCCGCCCACCTACCCGGCCAGCCCCTGCTCGGATGGCTACCTGTACATCCCGCTGGCCTTCGTCTCCCTCCTCTACCTCCTCTACCTGGCCGAGTGCTGGCACTGTCACATGCGCGCGTGCCAGGCGCCGCGCACCGACGCGCACACGGTGCT